GGATACCGTTATTACGGGTAGACCATCGCATGTGGCATTATTACTTGTGAAGTAAGTAGCTGATCTCACAAGTTAAAGTGTGGTGACACTTGAATGAACGCGTGGATGTTTTGTTATAGAACAAAACATTGGAGACCCACTGGGAGATTCCACATGGATAACTAACGTTCGGTAGTGGAATTGGTCCTTTGACTTGAGGTCATCGTAGTACCTTATATGAGGACAGTCATACTTTGATGGTGTTGGATGTTACTCTACCAAAGGTCGCTAATACAGCATCATTCGTGTATGTCAAGAATTATATGAAGGTTGTGAATGATCAATAGATGATTCGCCACTTTTAGATAGTAAGAAATTATGATCTACATTTTATTCAATTAAGTTGATAATGAAATCCTTGGCCAAGGTGAATTCATAAGTCGAAAATGAGTTTTCGACTTACATTGATTTAACACTGAGATAAAAGATATGATTGATAATTGAGATTGACAGATCCATATCTCATAATTGATTGGATCATATTGACGAAAAGATTATAAATTCACGGTAAATGAACAAGTTTGGTTTGTCAAATCACGTGACATTTCCCATCACATGTATTGCCCTGACACATTGCTAGATGTCAATCTGGGACGACGAATGTGAATTAGTGATAAATTAAAAGGAGTGTTTTAATTTATCGATTTTGATTAGATCAAAATAAGAATTCGCGTCTTTAGGCACGTTAGGAATCGTGATCGGGAACCTAATAGGTCACACACAAAAGAGAACCAGAAGAATGAAATTTACCAATTAATTAATTGACAAGTGTTGGACAATTAATTAACTGAGTTGCTTATTAATAGGCCCGAATTAATTAATTGGATTAATTAATTCATGGAATGGATTTAATTAATTTGATTAATTAAATATCGGATTATGTTAAGTTTAGAGATGGGTCAAGCCCACTTGGCCTTGTATTAATAGGCTGCTAGGGTTTATAAATTGTATGGAATTTTTCATTATTCTTGCTAGCACAAGAAAAAAAATCATATCCGTCATTCTTGTTCTCTGTGTGGATCACCATTAGAGATTGGACAATTAGACATCTTGGATTGCAGATCGTGATCATTGGAGTTCAAGAAAAGGCAAAAGAGTTTGTGGAATTTATCAAATGTATAATTCCCATCATAGTTTCTATCTAAGCACATTGCAAATCCTTGATGGAAATTGAAAATTGTTTTATTTACCATCACAGTTTCTATCTAAGCACATTGCAAATCCGTGATGGAAATTGAAAATTGTTTTATTTCCGCAGTGCATGATTAAGTAAATTCCCAACAAGGAGTAGACGTTTAAATGTCAAGGAATCATACTAAACGTTTACTAATATCATAGCTATTTTACAATTGAAATAAACTATTACAATGGAAAGAAAGTTACAACTCGAACTGATATTTACAATGTGCGGCCGAAGTTGGATAAACTGTGGCTGCGATTGGGTCAAGGGGCTTAAGCAAAGTTGCGGTCCTTGACACCTAAGCTTCCATCAATCAATCTACAAGTGGACGAACATTTAATGCTTCTCGACAAGTAAATTTGTGACTTGACCTTTAGACGTTTACAATAGAGATGTCCTATCAATCAAATGTAGAAAATTTAATCTTGGAAAAATCTTTGTACAAAAGACCCCTTAAAAGAGGTAAAGTAGGAGATGCTTTCCATTGAACAAGAGGCCCACTTCTTCTAACTCTTTTCCTGTAGCAGATGTGGCACCTCGCCCAAGCCATGGAGGTCGACCTCTATATGGCATCTTGACAAAAATGATGCATCACTTCAGATACCTTATGTACGCCTCACCTCAACTAGGTAAAAGGTAATTCGGAATGTGGGTCTAATTAATAGCTAGCTCGCAGCCACGTGCTTGACGATCTGGAACCTCGTTAGATGAGGTATAAAAATACTATTTATAGTACTAAGCCATAAGGATAAGCTCGCAATCTTCATCATTTCTAGACGTTGCAGTTCCAAGGCTGTATGGAAAATGAACTTCACTAATAGCTAGAGGTGGTGTGGGCCATAAGCTCTGCTCGTCTCTCAAGAGCGAAGCTCGACTTAAACCTTGAGCTCTTGACTGGTGGCTGGTGGCTCGTGTCGCTTGGCTTACAAGCTCGACATTTTTTTTCAAAAACCTCCTCATTTTCAGAAAATTGATTATTTGTTTTCGGAGGCTTGATTTTTTCTAAAAAAATAAAAATAAATCAAACCTCATTTGTTTTCTCTTCTTTAAACCACTCTTGTTTAAATCATCATTCTCTTCCTTGATCGATTTCATATTATCAATGCCATCTCCAACTTCCTGAGAAGTCCATACAACCATAATGTATGAACAATATCCAAATTTGGTTGTATGGACGATTCTCAAAAAGTTGGAGATGCGCTGATAATATGATATCTGGAAGGACGAGAATGATTATTTAAACAAGAGTGTTTTAAAGAAGAGAAAACAAATGAGGTTTGATTTAAATAATTGAATTATATGAATATGAAATGTATAAAGTTGTAGAAGTAGAATGTATAAATAAAAAATTGAATTGAAATTTGAAATTACATTTGAATTTAAAAAAAAAATTATTTTAAAAACCTTCGTCCTTTTATTTGGATTTGGGACCGACTACTTAATTTTTAAGTAGGCAGAGTTAAAATTGTTCATGAATAACTTGTTACATTACAATATTTTAAAAAATTAAAATATTATTAAAAAAAATAACAAAGTTTAATTATATGATATTATATCATTTACCTAATTACACAATTTTCTCATACTTATGTTGATTAAAAAATGAACGTCTTGTCAATCCTTTTATGCACATCAATATTTCCAAAATATTTTCTTTCAGTCGACTCGTGACCTCGAATAGAGTTCTTTTACCTGCAATAAAAGAAGACTCTCAAACTACAGTACTAACTGAAGTTGTTAGTAGATTTTTTGCAATGACGAAACAATAGGGTATTTTCGTTCGTTATTTCACGAATGTTATGAAAGGTCATTGTCTACTATGCTTAGCTGCAACTCAACAACAATAACAAACTTCACGATTCCTTCACGAGTTGTTTCCTCCGAATACATTCATGTGCTTAGTGTTGAAGAATTGCTACCGGAAAAAGGAGTACCAAATGTTAGTTGTGTTTGAGATTCACCACAAGCACATGTTTGACCGTACATTTAGCGTAGTGATAGCTAAGGTGGGAGGTGCGATACCCTTTTGTCATGCCAATCGCGTTTGACAGAATTTACACATTGCCTTAAACTCTTGAACTCCGTCGAAGGTACAACTCGTTGAAATCAATTTAAAATGTTCCCAAGACTTTAAAGCTTTTTTTCTCTTTCGTTTTCCTCTTGCATCAGGAATTTGTAGTTCCTCTTCGCCAGCATCTTCAACGACATCATCCAAATCAATTGGATTACTATTTCTATGAGCAACATCCATTCCCATTCTCAACAAATCGCTGGGGATGGGGATGGAGATTGACAAATTCATTGAAAATTGAGATTGTAGCGTCATAGATAAGTGGCCACCGAACAAGCCCTAAACAAAATCACGAGAATATATGTGTATTAGTGTATGTAATAAAATATAGTGTAGAAAATAAATATAAAATATATAAATTGGATTATGTAGACAATAGAATTTAGAGAATGTATGTAATGGAATTGAAATTTGATCGTAATAGAATGTGTATGTGTGTGTAATAGAATGTATGTAATAATGAATAATGTAATACAATAGAGTTGATAGTAATTTGATATTTTGATTGTAGAGAGAATGTAGAAGAGAGTAGATAGATTGTTGATTGATGTGAAAAAAAATAGTTCGTAATTGTGATGTATTTATAGAGGAAAAAAAATTCAGTGTGTGACCGTTTGAAAACAATTAGAAACTTTTCTCAAAGTGACCAAACAGCCACTTTCGGCGAGCCACCTCGAGCCTAACTCGTGGGCATTGCTCACGAGTCGAATTGTGCTCGGACTCGCCCCGAAACGAGCCCAAACCACCCATGGGCTGAGTCCGACAAGCTATTCTACTCGATTATCACCCCTACTTATAGCCTATCAAGAGCGAGCACTTTTGGCTAAGCTTAAAAAAACATAGTGAAAGTACTTAAAATTACCTTTTAAGTTGAGCCAACATATGTCCAAGTTCACAAGTTACCTTGTAAGTAATTTTTTCTCTGACAAATATTTCTCTCCAAGTAATGGTTTGAGGTTATTTATAGTTCAAAAACTTACTCCTTTCGATTTGCATTTCAATTTTAAAATTTGAGTTTTTTAGTTCTTTTCAATTATTTTGATGTTCTTTTAAAATTGCAAAAAATTCATTTGATTTGTCATTCTGAAAAATCATTTCTCAAAAAAGAAATGATTGGTTTAGGATTTTTTGATATTGATTTATGGTGTTGCTATAAAAGTATCATCCATTTCTTTTCCCTTCTCATTTTTTTCTTATTTAGTGGACCAAACTTCCATGTAATCTAGCAATTCCATTTTCCATGTCGTCAAAACTAACCCATAAAGGAATTTTCAATAAAAAAGAAAACAAAGGAAAACCCAAAAAACCCAATTTTTGAAAACCATATATTTTCACAACCAAGCAAGAAAATAAAATTAAGAAAAAAATAAACCAAAAATAAGTACTCCAACTCTTCAAATAGAGAGAAAAAAAGAAGCATAAAGCCATAATTAGTCAATCAATACCAAACTACAAGCAAGTTACAGAATTAGTAGGAGTACCGAAAAGAAGCTCGAGAGGTTGATCGTGAGAAATGAAAATTCGTCAACTTTTGGACGAAAAATGGCATCATGTGAATTGCCATTTGAGAGCGAAAGGAAATGGTCGGAGAGTAGTATAGTTGAGAGGATGATGAGGAAGTGAATTGTCACGAGTGGGGATTTTGGAAGATTGGGAAAGGTTGAGAGTTGAATTTTGGTTTGATTTTGCTTTGCTAGTATTAAATTCCAATTACAAATCCAGCTCTCTAGCAGCTGAAGCAAATATTTCCTCCAGTTTCTGTTTCACTTCATCCCCAGCAAAAACAAAATTAATGGCCTTCCTTGCAAGCTGAAACATTTCCCTCTTCCCGAGACCTTGTTAATCGAAAACATATATAAAGGTCAAAATGATGCAGAAATATCGTTCTCACATAAACAGAAAATATAACACCCACCGAATGTAGACGAGGCAACTGCATATTCAGCAGATAGGCTCGTAGAGAAAACCCCAACATCATCGGTGCAAAGGATTAAGGGGTGATTTGCTTTATATAATTCAGCTGCAAAACAGAAACTGTGCTGTTACAAAATGGAAATGGTAATTATTCAAATTCATCAAAGAATCAAATATGTGCATGTTTGATACACCGCACTGGACAACATTGTATGTGTAATACACACAATTTTAACTTCTTTGCAATATCTTCTTGACCCGTCTGGGTACCAAGCATGTCATATATTGCTACCCAGGATTAAAAAACAAATGCCCAGATGGTATTCAGACAATTAAAATATCTAACCAAAATGATGGACATCCAGGGAAGAGATTGATTCAGTTTTGATGTTGGATGTCAAACAAATCTCAACCTGTAAGAATGGAGAGAGAAAAAAAATACATGAAAATATCAGCAGGCAAAAATCCACGCATGAGGCATGAATTGTAGCAGACAATGATGGTCTACTACTACCACAAAACAATATGATTTTAGAATAATGTTGGTAATAGCAATCTCTCTCAAGATAATCGACCAAAATTACTTTTTTTTTTTCCCTATCCGCCGAGGATTGTCGTAATAAATAAAAGAATTAACGTGTGTTTGGTAGGAATTTTTTGGGGGAAGAATTGATTTTGAATAGTGATATGATGGGAAATGTGTGATTGAAAAAGAAGATAAGATTATTGATGTGATAGAAAATATTATTTTATTGAAGAATGTGTGGTTGAAAATGAGAATTGATTTACTGTTGAAAATGAGAATTTTTACCAAACATAGCCATATAATATATTTTTTTGTAAATTTGCAGTACTTGAGATGATCAACCGACCTATCTCTTCTAACCTTTTTAGTGTGTGTTTGGTAGGGATTTTTTGGGGGAAGAATTGATTTTGAATAGTGATATGATGGGAAATGTGTGATTGAAAAAGAAGATAAGATTATTGATGTGATAGAAAATATTATTTTATTGAAGAATGTGTGGTTGAAAATGAGAATTGGTACCAAACATAGCCTTAATCTGGTTAAACAAGGAAAATGAAACCAAAGTTAACAGTATAATGAAATCGAAAGATAACAGGGCAGATTGTGCTACGTTTTTCATCCTCAATTATGTAATGAAAGGGAAATGCATATCCTATTTAAAAAAGAATAATGGAGTAATGGGTATGAAAATCTGACCGGAATCTTGGACGACTTCAACTTTTCCCATTCTTCATCTTCAAAGCAACAAGCATGTCCAATTCTCCTTGGAAGAAAATCTAGCATAGCAAGAATTTCCTCTGTATTGGGCACCTATAAGCACTAAGTTACGGAAATAAACTATTTAGAGTTATTCTAGCAATAGCACCATGAAGAAAACTAGAAGAGATGCAAATCAAATGCACCTCGCCACAATGCAGAGTAATTGAAAGTCCTTGCAACTTAGCAAACTCTAGAGCTGGCAAAAATGTTGACCTGTTACAATAAGAGATTTACTACTTACTAGTACCTCTACAGGAACTAGAAAACAATACTGATTACGTTTAGTTATAAAACCACTGGTAGCGATACCATTCACCAACGAAGGGGTTGCCAGATAGATCGATACCCACTATCCCAAATCGCCTCATTTCCAAAGCAAGGTTAACCTTCACAAAGAAGACAGGATTAAAACCCTCATGCATTTGAACAACGTAGATACCTACTACGTCTCAGTTATCACATTACAGTAATGGCATTCCGGTAAGTTGGACTGGACAGTATTCAACACTGCTAAGAAAAGGAGATCAAAATTTTATATGTTGTAACTGCCCTGTACACTCCAAATCCAATGGTGTGTACCAAATATACTCAACGTACAGTTTCCATTGCAGCTTCAGTGGTCTCTCGACGATCTATACTGAGAAGAAATCTCACGAATATCTTCTTCCTTCCAGTCATATTATATGTTTCATTTACAGCAGGAGTTTCTGCAAACAATTCTCGAGAAAGATCAACTTCCACCATACTGACAGCCCTTACACCCTCTAAAACTGCTTCCATGTATGAGCGCTTGCTCATCCCTTTTGAATCATTCCTCTGCATTTCAAGAAGTTGTGGAAATGAGGGTATTTACATATCAAAGCGGCCATTAGAAATCACAAATTCACAACACAGACTATCACAAAGGCTTAAATTTTACAAGGAAACATTGCCATAGATTGTGGCATACATTCTAAAGAAATCCAATAGTAATTATCACATAGGCTTAAATTCTACAAAGCAACATTGCCATAGATTGTGCCACTCAATCTAAAAAAATCCAATAGTAGTGATCTTTCATGTTGATGGATGTTGGATCTCACAGTAACATTAACTAATAGCAGTGGTATATATACCTTCGGAGTGGTTCTTAGTTCCAAATAGACAACATTTTCAGAAGCAAAATCTTCAATTACCTGTAATTAGGCATAAAATGCAAAAACATTTGTGAAAAGTCTGGAGCTCAAATCAAATAAAACTGTTGAAATCAGCAAACCTCTTTGGTAATCCTTGTGACAGTTTTATGGTCAGTAGTAACAACGTGGATCAAATCAAACATCTTGAACACTTCACGGAGTGAACGATCATCTACATTTATAGCGATAGAATAATTTCTAGGTCAAATTTCATGGCAAAAATGCGATTAACAAGTTACTAGTACAAATGTTTCAGAAAAAAAAAGGTTTACTTTTCAATATTACATTCTCCACATCTGGAAAAACTACAGTGCCCCTTTTACCCAGTTCTCCAGCAAGTTCACTGTGTACAAAATTAAAACTCAACGAATGATATGTCAAAACAAACTAAAAAAACACCATCCACAAATATGACAGAATATCAATACAATAATTTGATTCCACATACGAATGTCTGGTTTTGTGTATGAAGATTTTTTTTTTTAAGAACAAAAGGTGTGTCGTCACTTTTACCCAATTCTCCAGCAACTTCGCTGGATACAAAATTAAAACCACAAATGATATGTCAAAACAAACTAAAATCGACAATCCACAAATGTGACAAAAGACAACAATTTAACTGAAGATGCGGGGTTCTAATTTTGCGTGCGAAGATGAAAAATTTCTTTTAAATAAGAGTAAAAAAGAAAACAATAGTACCACTTTTACCCAATTCTACAGCAAATTCACTGTATACAAATTAAACAAATGATATGTCAGCACAAACAAAAACCAACATCCAAAAATTTGACAAAATCCAATAATTTCAGTCAACAAGGATGTCTAATTTTCTGCACGAAGATGAGATTTTCATTTTAACTACGAGAAAAAAAAAACTATTGACAGTTAATTGAGGCAGGATTAGATATACAGTAGAGTGGAGTTTCTGACGGAGCCATTGAGGTGAGCATGTAATTCAATCTTTGGCATCAACTCCCAACACTCCATTTCTCAATCTCACTGTGTGAGTTTGTGCGTGTATTTTTTCTTAGTAAAATTTCTCTGAATTTTCGAAAGAGCAAATAAAGCACAAAGAAGATCTAAAATGTCTCTTCAGTATTCTTGTGCTTTTCTGACACGGAATGTGCGCCAGCTGACTCCCTTTGGCTATGATTTTGACTGATTTGGTCTTTGTTTTCAAATTATTAGAGGTGGATAAATTACGCATTTAAAAGATAAGACTTTTGAAAAGCAACTTTTACATAATTTCTTACGTAATGTCACATGACACTTTAATATTTTTTCAATTTAAAATATAATCAAATTTTTCTTTCAAATTTTTTCCTTCGTATCATATTATGTAATTTATTATATACATTTTTTTATATACAAGTAGTAAAATCTCTGTAATTTTAACTTTTTTTAAGTTTAACCAAACATATTCTGATATATTTTTTTATTTTTTTTTCTCTTTTACATATTCTACACTATGCGCCTATTTCGGTGGGATTCTCGCAACATTTGAAGCAAAATTTCAACCGTTGAAAATGCAATGGGTCTTTATGTCGCAATCATTATTGATTTATATCAGTGATCATTTGAATTGTCAAATAATGTGGGTCTCTCCATAATTTTATACTTACAAAGAAGTGAAGAAAAATAATGACAATTAACAAAATTAAATCACATTAGAATTGTCCAAATTTGTAGGTGTCTACATACTAGCAGAGGTGGACTCCATTTCAATTAGGGATGACAAAAAATCTCGTCGGTTTGGGCTCAGCTCGACTCGGAAAAAGCTCAAGTCGGGCTGGGTTCGGGCTCAATTACACTGAGCTAAGGCTTGGGCCGAGCCTCATTTTTTTGGTCGGGCTGTGCTCGGCTCGACTCGAGCTCAAAAAAGCTCGGTCCCAAAAAGTTCGAGTCGAGCCCTAGTTTTTTTATTTAATTTATAGTACGTATAAACCGTACAAATTTTAAATTTTTTAAGTAAAAATGTAGATTTGACATTAAAAGAAGAAAAAAAAACTCAAACGGCTTGGTCCGGGCTTGGCTTGGTCCGCTAAGGCTCGGGTTGAGCCTCATTTTTTTTTGCCGAGCTTTGCTCGGCTCGAGCCCAAAAAAACTCGGAATAAATTTTTTTTTTTTTTTTTTGGGCTCGGCTCGGCTCGGCTCATTGACATAGCTAATTTCAATGGTACAAAAATCAATTTCTTTGTAAAATAGTAACGCTCCCAGACAGACGCTATTATATGACATAACTGCCTACTAGTTATAAATATACTTAGCTGATAATTAAAATAGACTAATGAGGACATGCTTGATGTAAAATTTTAATACATTCCAAGTCATTATTCACTGAAATTGATAATATTATGCTAAAGTCTTATGATAAATTTATTCTCATATTTTCTGGGTCGAACCACCAAAGAAGAATAACTGCTTTGGCAAGTCTTCTACCAAAATGATAAACTTAATGCCAAAAAATCTCACAACCTCGTTATAAATCACATGCAACGAGTGTGTCATATGATCGTTAATAAAATGTTGAAGATAAGAGTCTAACGAAAGAATTCATTTCAACAGAAAGCTCAACTTTCATACATCATGAATGCAATTGCAGGCTCCTTTGAAATTCATTTACATGAACATTTGATGATTCAAATTATAGGCATCCAAATACTTTAACAACAATTCATGATTCAAAACCATGCAATTTCAGAGCATATTGAAAAGTGTAAATATTACACTTATCTTTACCGTCAAAAAATGGCTTTTGAAAGTTATTTTATGAACTAGATACTCGACTTTTTATTATTTAATTTCTCAATTATGATTGATTAAATAATTTGTTGTTATGATAAACGATGGAACTTAGATTTAATATTTATTTAATTCCAAAAATTCATGCAACTTGATTATGTGTTGATTGTTTATTGCGTGTTAATACTTCAATTGATTGATCACAAATTGATTGATTTAAGGACGATATTGAGACCGAGAGGAGATATATTACAATAAACCATATGTGTTATAAGAGATCGAGAAATAATTGTATTTTATGCAATCATGATTGAATTCGTAAAATTCAATGCGTTTATATGTGTGTGGACTTACATAGAGATATAATAAAATTTGGGTATATGAATAGAATTAGTGTTACTTGAGAGAGATCACTAGCTACAATATATTAATTTGATTGTTAATACACATGAAAAAGGGGCTGAATGAATTTGGATTAAATGAATGTTAAATTGGCCTAAGTGAAATCGAAATTTCTAACCACTTACTTCCAATAGTTCTCCACAAATTAAGTTAATTAGGTTAAATTTGTTTAGGTTAGTATAATTTAGTTAAAATATAAACACTTGATTAGTTAATTGGTTACGACATCAATTTAGATTGAAGTCAGAATTGAAATAAAAATTGATAGTACATATTAGTCTCTCTGAGAATGATATTCAAACTCAAAAAAATCATCTTTATTACTATCACCATCCGTATACTAATATTTACTATTAATTTTTATTTCAGTTCTAACTTCAATCTAAATTGATGTGGTAACCATTTAACAAATCAAATTTTTATATTTTAACTAAATTGTACTAACTTAAACTAAATTAACTTCATTTATGGAGAACTATTGTAATTAAGTGGTTAGAAATTCCTATTTCACTTAGGTCAGTTTAATATTCAGTCAATCCAAATTCATTCAGTCCTTTTTTTTCATATGTATTAATTATCGAATTAACCTATTATAGCTAGTGATCTCTCTCGAGCAACACTAATCCCATTTATATATCTGAATTTACTATATCTCTATGTAAATTTACATATTTATAAACACATTCAATTTTAGGAATTCAATCATGATTGCATAACCTATAATTATATCTCTATATAACACCTATGTTATTTATTGCATGAACTAGACAAATAAATCTCATCTAGGTTTCAATGTCGTCTTTAATCAATCAATTGATGATCAAGCAATTGAAGTATTAAACACACAATAAACAATTAATTCATAATCAAGTTAAGCGAAATCTTTAGAATTAAAATAAATATTAAAATTAATTTACATCGTTCATCCTAATATTAAATTTAGTCAATCATAATTCAGAAATCAAATAATAAAAAGACGAAAAATATCATTGGGCTCAATAAAAAGAATAAATAAAAAATCCTAGCGATGGTTGTTCCTTGGCACTAAATTCCAATAATGGATCGTCACTCTCCTCTTCCAAACTTGTGCATCTCCCCGCTAATTTTGTTTTTCAATCTTCGAATCTCAAATTGAGATACAGATTTTGAGGATTCAATGTATTCAAATGTGTAATCTTGCCTCAAGATTGTTTCTGTAACCTCCCCTAATATTGTAATAAATTATTCATATTATAATCCCTAGCCCATGTTTGAGGCGCATTATTTTTTTCATTATCATTTTTCTACTCATTTTCAATCATATATTTTTCAATAAAATAATATTTTTCATCACATCAATAATTTTTCCTTCTTTTTCAACCACATATTCCCATCACATTATATCAAAAAAATACATTCTCTCATTTTAATATGCACCAAACAGACTCTTAAATTAGGTTTAAAGTAGAGTTTCGAAAGAATTGGGAACCATAATCTTGGTTCAATTAGGATTATTCGAATTGTTGGAATTTATACTTNACTCCTTGGTACCCAGCTTCCACAATATGTCCTCCTTTCATTTTTTTTTTTTTTTTTATCAATTATTGCTCCTTTCGTCCGTTCTCGTCAAAAACCGGTTTTTCTCCTAAAATACCCAAAAACATACAAAAGTTAATTATGTAGTTCATAAAATTACTTCCAAAAGCCATGTTTTGATGGCCAAGATATTTACACTAGCAATACATATTAGGATGGAGTGGGTGATCTATTGGCAATACAACCCTACGAAATTTCGAAGTAATATTTTCAAAAGCTTGTCACAAGTTTGGATTTCTGTCTGCAAAATTATGTTCTAGTAACCATTTTTTCATGATGATTTAATCACAAGATGCAATTTTACATTTATCTTGCTATTTTTATTTTAAAATTTCTATATTTTTGTTCCTTACAACTCTTTTAAGGATTCATCGACTTGTACAAAAAATTTTGCCCACCTATATTGCAGATGTAGTGTTGGCAACACATAACTAGCCATCGAAACTATTTTTTTTTTTGGGCAAAATTCAATGACAGAATGTTGTAGCAAGGCTCCCCTTTTAATCTATAGCATCTAGAAAATTAGATCCCTTTGATTTGTGTTTACCAAAGACATGATAACTGGTACACCATAAGTGTGTCCTTCCTGGTCCTCTCATAGTAGGACTTAATTCATTTATCTTATTTGAGTTTTGAATTAATTTCAGTTTTTTTAGATTTGTTTTAAAATTTTTGAAAATACATTTGATTTGCATTTTAAAAAAAATAGTTTCTTAAAACACAAAATTGAAAAACACATTTTGTTTGTAATTTTGAGAAGTTGGTTTATGATATTTTATTCCATTAAATTGATTATTTTATAAAATAGAGCAATTTTATGCTAATATATTATCAAGTAATATATAAACATTTTAAAGTTGGTAAATTTTACAATATTTTTCCGCTAGAAGAAGTAAAATACACACAAATAATAAATTGAGTTGACTAAAGATAGAAAATAAAAATTAATGACGTAGATTTAAATATTTTTTTTCTGGAATTTTAATTTATATAACCAATATGAGTTTTTATTTTTTTGAATTTTAGAATCTTTTATAATTTTTATTTATTAGAATTTTATACTTTATTTTTCTAGAATTTTATGTTTTATTATTTTTTACATTTTTATTGTTATAATTTTTATATAATCACTTTTTGTTTAAACGCTTATGACCCGTTCTCTTTACCATTTTCAAACCGTTTTTTGTTTTCGATTTTTCAAAACAGTGAAAATGAGATTTCTTTCTTACTTTCGAAAATACGTTTTTGAAAACAGTTTAAAAATTTAC